CATCTCTGTTGTGGCAGTGAGTGTTCAGCAATGCAATTAAATTATGCGACGACCTACCACTTTGCGGCGCCTGGAAGGGAATAAAAAATCAGATCATGATGCAAACACAACAATATTAGCAAGCCTTGTTGCTAGCTACTGACCTACAATTATAACATGCTTGACCTTTGTCCAACTGTCTACGAGATTGCGATTTCTGTTGATCCATTTCACTTTTGTTAGCGTGAACAGCAAAAACCCGAGTCAACGATGTAGACCTTATATACTGCTCAACCCGGTTCATGTATGAATATGAATCCTCCGAGGTTCCGAGTGGTTCAGCGAGTTGAGTTGCCTATGGATTATCCAACACGTAGGCTGACAAAGAGTACCAATTGTTCAAAATCGGAAGCGCTGGGTAACCGAGCACCAGTAGGCATTCTTGCGGTTTCTTCCGCTACAGAGAGGCTTTCAGTTGATTGGTGCTAAAAGCGTGCGACTAGTGAAGGAGACGAGACTTGGACGAGACAGAAAATCTGGACGAACAGCAAGCGTTACAGAAAAATTTTGGAGCAGAGGCTCCAGGGAAGGCATCGGGAATCGAGAATTGCATGTGAGCAGTACCATCCGTACAAGTTGCTTCATTTGCTCGTCCAGTACACACAGTTAATTCTCATTACTTGGCGAGTTTGAATGCATTGACATTTTTGGAAGGCGCTGACAGCTGATTGCTCGTGAATTTGCTAAGATAAGTCGCGCAAGACCGCGTTCAGCGCTGTTCCGAACGCTGCTTGGTCAGTTCATGATCATGTTCCCCGAATTTCCTGCAGGTTCCGTCGAGAGCAGATTTGCAAGCACAAGAAGGGCACTTCCTAAACCGGACAAGGGTCGGAAAGGTGGAGGAAATGATATTTGATCCGAACGCTGCCGGCATTCGCGCTCAGAGTCATTGAAATCTATTTGACATTCACATTGTATTCGCAAAAGTATGGCAACAGAGGCGACGCGTAGCTGAGGTCCAAAAGGTCTGCATTCCCTTCTTCAACGTCTCTCTCTCCTACCATGTTGACCATCACCGTCCCCCAAGGGTACTTTCGATACTTCTCCGCGTCGATCCCAAGAAAGCTGACAGTTCTCTTTGAAAGTCTGAGGACTCCCTCCGTATACGTCGCGGGGTCTCTTCTGTCGACGGTTCTCCTTCTCACATGGCAAACTATCCAAGTTTCAAAGCATCGCAAACTGGCGGGCATACCCTACCCTCGTCGTGCGCCACTTTGTCCCGTGGTTTCTGGATGTACACTAAACTTCGTTCTGTAGGACACGCAGAAAAAGCTGAGATGGATGCTTCTCCTGCCGCAGCTAAATTCGACTCCGTCCAGCGTGTGTTTCAATTCAATAAACACTATCTCACCGCGTCTTAACCATCCCTTCCAGGCGCTCATGCTAATGTTGGTTTCGTGCCGCACAAAAGCCCTCTTCATTGACCTGTTGACAGACCCTTGAAAACATCCCGACAGTATACCTCATGTATGTGGTTCCAATCTTCCTTCCTGAGCGCACTCGCCACTCACTTCATCCTCCTAGGACCATTCTCGTCGGCATACAAGCACCCGTTGTCGCTGCCTCTGCACTCGGAGCCTGGGTTGTCAGTCGCATCGTATACACTAACCGAGTAAGTTTTCTTTGTCCTTGCGCGCCTCGGAAACGCGTGCTAATTGTTCCACGCATGTTTGCGCCGTCTTTCTAGGACTCCGCCCCTCCAGCTTCATCGACTTTGCCCCCCTCAATGGATATGAATCAATGGCTTTTTTGTAAGGCCACTATCCTCAAACTCAAAAAACAAAACTTTGCGTATCCATTCTTGCGTCCTGTCGACCCTATCATGCTCTGTCTTCCTCAGTATCCAATGATCGTTCGCAATCCAATGGACCTATCCACCATGGAACATAAACTCAAATCTTCAAACCCCGAAAAACTCGAGTCAAACCCCGACCAGCCCCGCTATCTAACTGTCGACGAATATATCGAGGATGTTCGCTTGATCGTGAAGAATTGTATATTGTTCAATGGGCCCGAGCACCAGATTAGCGCTATGGCAAAACAGATGGAAGAGTTTTTCGACAACGAGATGAAGAATATGCCGGCTGCGGGCGAGGTGCGAAGCGCCCACTTTCCGCTCTCTTGATGCTGACGCAGTCGTTGTCAGGAACCAATTGTAAAGGAAGCTGGTCAGTAACTCTCGGAGAAGGAGAAGGAGTGAACGCCGTGCAAGCGGGTACGGAAAACGTTGAACGTCGAGAGGTAGTTTACAAACAAGTACCCAGCACAGTGCTGACGGTATAATCGCTAGTCTAAAATCAATAGCGACTTCGTATGAATGGGTTCATTCCTGGCAGTGCTTCGCTATAAGGCGCGCTGCCGCCCAAATTGAGCTGCGGGCCGACCAGGTCTTGAATGCTACGACAAATCGAACGTTGGTAACATCCGATCGCTGCTTTTCATTGCGGTATCGGCACACACCGCATGGGGTTAAATGGTCAACTCTCTGAGTGTACAATCTTCAATTTCGCGTTCATGTCGAGCCTCTTAGGATCGGCACACCTACGTGGAGATGTAAGAAGCCAGCTCGGCATGCATCGCTGAATTTGCCAAATTCAAGACATGTCTCGTATACACGCTGATATATAAACGCGGCGGCAACTCTCTTCCAAACCGAAACAATGTCCCAAATCCTACTGCGTACTTCAAACCTAGGCGCAGCCGAAGCCGGCGCAATCGTCTTCTCCGCCTACCTCTGCTATGCCCTCTTCCGAACCCTCCAACGTCGCCGATCGACACCTCTCAAAGGTCCCCCACGGCGCACTCTAAAGAACTGGATCCTCGGCATGAAGTCCGTGCTTTCGGGAGCGCCTGACCCTGGCGCCGTCTTCGAGGACTGGGCGGTGCAATACGGCGCGGTGTACTCGATGCCTACGAGCTTAGGTGGCAACACCATCGTTGTGACCGACACGAAATCGATTGCGCATTTTGCGGCGAAGGAGACGTATGGGTATGTTATGACGCCGCAGTCGCGGGATTTTTTGGGTAGGATGTTTGGGAAGGGGTTGTTTTGGGCGGAGGGGGATAGTCATAAACGGTGTGTTGCAACTTGCGGGTGAATTTGATTCGATTTGGTGCTGATTGTGTTGTGTAGACAGCGCAGGGCACTTAATCCGGCTTTTAGTGTTACAGCTATCAAAGACTTAACTCCGATTTTCTTTGACTCGGCGTACAAGGTGAGTGTATCCGTCACGAGAGGGTAATAATTGGATGGTAATACTTCCCGTGGTGTTAGGTCAAGGCTGCATGGGATGCAATCATTGAACGGCGCTCGGACGGTACAACGATTGAGGTCCAATCGTGGTATGTTTCCACTTGTTGCTGGTATCACAACCGATACTCAAACCTTTCGCTTGTAGGATGAACCATGTTTCGTGAGTCTTAGATTCTTTTTATCACCGCTAAATAACTGACCAGATTTGAATGTAGACTCGACACAATCGGACTTGCCGGCTTCTCGCACGATTTCGGAACGCTTTCTGGCGAGAAATCCGTTGTCGCAGACGTGTTCGATAATATCGGTTCGAGATCGTCGATCATAGGCGATTTCGTGTTTTTGTTATCGCTTTTTATGCCTGTCTTTGGCCGCATTCCAATCGGTCGTGCGCTTATGGTCAGGCAGCTCACGCAGACGCTTAATGGTCTCGGGGATAAATTTCTCGAGACAATTGATACGAGTAAGGAGGGTGGTGTGGATAAATCTGTCATTGGTATCCTAGGTATGTTCAGGTTTGGATGTGCTGAGTACTTGGAGCGTTGACGGTTTTATAGTGAAATCAGCAACGTCGGACAAGATATCGAATGACGAAGTTAGGGCGCAGGTATGTAGCGCTGAATAATATTCTGTGTGGGCAGGTTGGCTGAAATACATGCAAGATAAACGTTCTTCTACTTGCAGGATATGAGACCACCGCTAGTGAGTTACCTCCAACAAATCGAACCTGTGAAATATTGAGACGCCTTTTAGTTAGCCTCACCGTAGGTTCACTTTGATCGTTACGAAGCAAAAAACTAAGCCACTCGTTTAGTGGGCTTTGATAGAGTTATCGCGGCACCCCGAGTTGCAAACCAAACTGAGAAACGAGCTTCTCCAATTGGGCGGAGACCTTACATCGGAGGAACTCACCAAGCAAGGCTCTTTTCTCGACGCCTTGACTTGCGAAATCTTGCGTTTGCATCCTCCGCTGGGAATCTTGGAGCGTATGGTGAGTGCTTCTAATTGATTCGTTGTTAGAAATAATACCGGGCAACTAAACACATGGTCAGGCCGCCGAAGACGACATTCTTCCCTTGAGCACACCGATGGAGACCGCCGACAGAAAGCTCGTCGACAGCCTAGTTGTGGCCAAGGGCACGATCATCACCATACCCATCCACTCCATCAATCGGTCCGAGGCGTTTTGGGGCCCCGACGCCAAGACGTTCAACCCGATGCGCTGGCTGCGTCGGGACGATGTCGAGGGCACGAACACCGCGTATCAATCGCAGGAGATCCAGGGATATCGCCATCTGCTGACGTTTTCGGACGGAGCTAGGAATTGTTTGGGCAAGGTGTTTGCGGTGATGGAGTTTAAGGTTGTGTTGTCGATTTTGGTGAGGGAGTATGTGTTCGAGTTTCCGGGTGGGGAGGGGACGAAGATTGGGAGGCATGAAAATATTTTTCCGAGGCCGAAGGTGGAGGGGGAGGTGGGGTTTGATGTGCCGCTGAGGGTCCGTCCTTTTGTTTAGATATGAATGAGAGGCATTGTATTGTCAGGGACCAGTTGCACTGTTGCGAATAAATGGATGCTACGAACATCATATTAGCGGCCTAAAACATTTCGTGTAGATATATATCCATCCTTTCCATAGAGTAGATCTGGAGAAGAAACCGTACCAGCAAGAGGATGGGCGAGAAGAACAAAAAAAAAGGGGAAGTCGTACTCTCGACCTGGGAGTCGAACCCAGCTTTCGCGCGAAGTCACGTGACGATGACAGGCGCGTGTACTCAACCGATATACTAGTCGAGATGTGTTAGTTGGTCGAAAAGTAAAATTTCGACCTCAGGGCAGCGGTTGCACACGGTATTTGACGCCATAAAGTTTGCTTTCTTTGCTGCTTAGGCTCGAATCCAGCCTGTGTATGAGGGCGAACCCGTCGATACACAGGCTGGTCGATCTGAGTTTGAATTCCCATGTCAATCGGGTTACCAAAAATGGTTATTCACTTACTCACCCATTACAGCCTCAAATAGCGAGATTTTTCGTCAGAACTAAGCGGTTCGTACGCCAAGGTCGTTCCGCGCTCATTTGAGGGTCTAATCGTAAGTTTTCAGAGTGCAGGAGCCAGATTGGTTTGTTTTGTTGTTGTTTGTCCGTGACGTCACAGGCTGTAAGCAATAACCTTTTTTGGTAACCGAGATTGACGTGGCATTTCAAACTCAGATCGACCGGTCTGTCTATCGACAGGCTTGCCTCCATAGACAGACGGTCACCGGTCTATTTGCTGCTCAGTTCTCGCGAAATCACCCACATGGAAGGTGCCACTGTTCAAATCATATATGAAGCTTTGCAGTTTTGCGAAGGTGTGAGTGCCAGCATACAGTGAACAGCAGTACTAGTAGGACACAGGATGTCGAGACGAGACTCAGAATCGAGTCTAGAGCAGTAGCACGGCCAGAGACAGGGAGACTGAAGGGGAAAAGGGTGTCGAAATGGAGCGGAGTAGGGGCTTCTAACTAGCCAGTGAGCCCTAAACGGATGACACTGTAGCTGTTCTGCGAGCATTCGAGGATCGAGGTTGGCAGAGAAGGCCGAAAGAGGAAAAGGATGAGCTTAGTCAGCATCGACCTCGTTTCATCAGCGCTAAGAGGGTCCCCCGCCGTTTTTCCTCGTCCAAACCAATCGCCCCTTGCTCCCGACCACCACAACCCACAGCTACTCCCACCCTTCGCCCCACTTTTTTGGATCTTTTCGTCGGCCGGAATGCCTTCAGCGGAGCAGCAGCAGCGCAGCGACTCGCCTGATGATCGAGAGAAGGACGACTCGGCCAGAGGAGGAAAAGGCAAACCCTCGTCAGCCTCAAAGAGTGCGTTCCTTTTGTCCCTCGTTTTTTTTCGGCCGTCTGAAGGAGGGCTCTGTGGTGCAGCAAAAGACTTGTCGCATGTGCCCTGCAAATTCTACAAGGTCGGATCGTGCACAGCGGGCTCCTCCTGTCCGTTCTCCCACAGTTTCGCAGAGCCTGGAGGTCAAAAGGATGTCTGTGCATGGTTTGTCAAAGGGAACTGTAAATTCGGCCACAAGTGTGCCCTCGCCCATATCTTACCCGGCCAAACCATGGCCATGGACCGCAAGAACAAAAAAGCTGCCCAGATTGCTGCTGGCGGGGCCAACAACAAGAACGGTGACTCTGGCGGTAAAGGCGGACGAGGGGGCAACAAGCGCGATAACGGGAACAATCGTCTGCTTGCCGGTGGTTCTACCGCCCCCACTCGCGCTCGACCACCCATGAATATGCCCCTCAAGGCCACGATCTCTCCTAGTGCTCCTGCGCCCCCTCTCAAAGATACTGACTTTGCCTCCTTTGGCGCCCTCGACGAGTCCACTCAGCTCCCAATAGCCCCTGCCCGCAAAAAGTCTCCCCCTCCGGAACCACCGAAACCCTCCACGTCCCCCACTCTCCCCGTATCGGCTCCTCGTCGTCCGAGCATGAGCACCCCAACAAAGGATTTTGGTCCCATTGGATCCCCGCCTTCTGCGGCCACATCGCCGTCATCCAGAATGCATTCGGGTACGCCCCCGACCCAGGCGAACGGCTTCCTCTCCACCTCTCCCTTCTCCGCACCCGGAAGCAAGCCCCCCTTCCTCGGCTACGGAGACGCGGCAAGGCAAGGCATGGCCGCCAGTCTCGGTGCAAACATGACCATGGGCGGAGGGCTTGCCGGCTGGAACAACAATGCCAGCGCCAACGGCGTCTCGTCCTCGCCCCTCCGCGGAGGTTTGCTCTCTGCAGGTAGAGTTAACGGGCAGCGTCCTATCAATGGCGCCGACTACGACATTTCTGTAGAGTACGAGGAACATGGCATCAAAGCCCGTCGGAAAGCGACTGTCGACGACCCGAACGAGGATCTTGAGGACTTCCTCCCAAGCTCGCTCACCGATCTCCTTACGCCCGAGGAGCGCAGCCGACGCATGTCGCGCACAAACTCTGCACAGTCGCCGAGTCTCGGTGGGGGATTCGACAACATCAGCGCATCGCCGCATCGACACGGGCTCGGGGTTCCTTTGAACCAACAGAACCCCGGTGCAGTCGGCCACCGCTATTCGCGCTCTGTGCCCGCGCCATCGTTCCTGGGCTCCGGCGCCGCCAACGACCACATCAAATCCATCTGGACGGACGGCCCGCCCCCCGGCCTCCCGAGCTCTCCCCTCGGCGCCGGCATGCCCAGCTCCTACTCCTCCAACTCCGGCGCAGGTGGCGGCCTCTCCTCCTCATTCGCCGAACGCCTACCATCCCTCTCGCCGAGCAACGCCTCTGCCGCATTCCTCCCCTCCATCCACCACTACATCGCGCAGAAGCAGGGCGCGGGGATGCGCACGACCTCGAATCCCTCCGTCACCACAACCGCTTCGTCGACGGGGCTCTTTGCATCCAACACGGCCGCGCATCCCGGCCCGCCGGGAATTGCTCATTACCTGCAATCTGGCCCCGGGCCGCACAACGCGTCCTCTTCGTCTAATACGAATCCCAATTCCACGACGTCTACGCCGGGGATTGGCCCGGGCGCCTCACCGTCGCCGTACGTTCGGCCGAACCCGTTCGACCTCACGCAGCAGCAGCAGCACAATCCTGCGTATGCGGCGCATGTCCAGGGCGGCGGGAATGGCAATGGGAACTTCAACGGCGGTGGGCAAGGCGGCGTACCGAATCTCAACGACACGCACATCCTCTCCCCGAACGCGCGCGCCTTGCAGGCACATGCGCCGGGACAGTCGTTGCCGCAGGGTTTGGCGGCGGGGTATTCGCGGATCCATGCGCTGCCGCCGCCGATGGTGGGGAGCCCGTCGCCTGCGGCATCGCCGGGGGTGTATGGTGGGTTTGGGAATATCAATACGGGCGTGGGGTCGCCGGGGCAAGGGGGTGGGATGAGGGATTGGGCGACGATGAGTACGGGGAGTATCAGTGGGAGTCCGGGGTTTTTGAGTTTTATGAAACCGCCGCCGGCGACGACGAACAACGCGGCGCCTCAGCCGGCGGCGGGTGCGGGACCCAAAGCTGCCCCGCCAAATGCGGCGCCTATGACAGCCGCGGCGCTGGATGCCATCTTCTCGCAAAGGTCGTACTCTGCTGCGGCGAGGCAAGGTGGCCCGGCTGCACCCATGCAACGCAACCCCAGCGGCGGCGCTAATGCTCAAAAATGGCGAGCCGATCCGCCGATGAGTCCTCTTGCTGCTTCGACGGCTGTTGGCGCAGGCGCAGATGACGGCGACGAACTGTTCAGTTTGGATGACTGATGTAAAGAATCGTTTTCTGTGTGAAACGCAAATGAAACTGAAAATTTCCCCAGTGTATATACGTCTGTATACATATGTGAGGCGGGCGGCATACGTGCGTCTGCCGCTTGCTACTGGTACTATCTATCTATCCACCTATCTATCTATCTATTATACAATTAATCCTGCTTGGTTTCTTCTCTTTGTTGCCTATACACCCTCACTCACGTCTCCCTCATGATCTCCTGGACCCTCTCCCTCCATCATGTCCACGTATCAACTACCCAACCCACACTGTTGTGTCCACTACATACATAGTTTTTCTCTGCTCTGCTCTCTCTGTTTCTCATTTGTCTGTTGACATTGTCGTCACCCCCACCACGTACTTATTCATTCTTACTGCACGCACGAAAACAAAAGTAGGTATGCAGGCTCTGAGTCGTGTCAATGTAATATTGTAAATCTGATAGCATGAAAAACACGAAAGAGGTTATAAGACGAGGTGTTTTTAGTCCAACGAAAGAGAAGCAACTCAAAGGACTACGATGCGCGAAGGAGTCAGCGGACAAGAAAAGGAAAACGCGACGGGAACACCGTACCTTGTTGTCCTTCACCCTGCAATTCGAAATTTTCTCTCTGCGGTGGACTACGGATACGCTCCGATAGCTTGGATTCAAAGGCTTCAAGGCTGTGCGAATTGTACCAGTCATCGAGTGACTCGTTCTCGCTATCCTCGTCTTCCGAGTCTGAGTACACGGCGTCATACTGCCAGTCGCCCCAGAGAGCAAAATGCAGATCCGCTTTCAGCGTGATGTGTGCATATGGCAGCCAAGGGTCGCCCACAGCCTGGCGGAGTCGCTTCTCGAGATCATCGCCATGTTCGGAGCGGAGTCTCTGAAGCCCGCTGTTGATCTGCTCCAGATCCCCCGCTAGCTTCTCAACGCCGCCAGGAATAAGCAGCTCAAGGCTCTTCAGTCCCATATGCATCACAGCGGAAACGAATAGCGTGGGGTCGGATGTGTCCTGAAAGAACGGAGAAGTCTCGAGCAGCGGCCGCCACAAGGATTCATTCATGAATTCTCGAATTGCGTGCTGCATACTGAGCTGCGGGAATCTATCCTCGTCGTATCTAGCCATTAATTGGCTGATGAGTGCGTGGGCGTCTTCGAATTTGTGGTAGTTGAAGCTATTGATGTCGGGGATGCAGTACACGAACCATTTGAAGCGCGTGACGCTGCTGAGCGGCTTATATTGGGGGAGAGGAAGATAGCTGAGCTCGTGGGAGTGGTGGAAGAGCTCGCCGTAGATGATCCAGTTAAGAAGCGCTGTTTCGGGGTCGTTGCACACGGTGAGGAAGTCGTTGTCTTGGCTCGCAGGACCGGCTGAGAGGTCGAGGCGCCTGTCTAACGGGTTCAAAACGTCGTTTTTGTACGCGTGCATTCTGCGGATGTCGTCCATGGAAAGCTCCGCAACGTCGATTGCGAGTTGCAAGAACTTTTCGACGCCGCCTTGGATGGCGGTCTCGAGCAGAAACCGAT